GGGGCAGGTGCTAGCTCAGTACCTCCAGCCTTCTGCCACGGGCCGTTCCCAGAGAAGGGGATGTGGCCTTAAAAATTCCTTAATTTAAGGTGAACCCCCTGGAAAAATCCAGATGTCCCTTGCACCCAGCATCTCCTGCTTGCAGCCACCACTTGGTGCCTTCACAGGGCACTTCCCAGGGCTGAAATGTCACCAGTGTCCTCCTCTTGAAGACCCTCGAAGCTGGGCTGTCCCTTATTTTCTCCCATTTCTGTTGAATCCAGAACCAGCTTGTCCCTAACTGGATGCTTTGCTAATTTAAGGTGATTTTTGCTTTCCTCTCAGAGGGGCAGGATGTGCCACCCTGGGTGCTGTGCCTGGTTTTCCCTGGGGGGTGACATTCTCTATCCAGGTTTCTGCACGGCTGCTGTCTTCTCTCAGCACCCACACCCTGCCCATGACACCTGCTCCCCGAACACCTCCCATCCCACCTCAAAAAGTGGGGACTGGGGACGCTCGGTGGCTCCCATGACATCTCCACGGGTCACCCGAGGGCTCTCTGGAGCTGGACACCCAGCTGGAAGCACATCAGAGGAGGGGGGTGGGAAAATAGCTGAGCAGTGATAACGTGCTCAGGGGTATAAAGGCCCCCACTGTCCTCTGGACAATCCCTCGAGTGTTTTGCACGGGGCACAGTGGGATAAAGATGGGAATGGGATGCTGGGCTCGCCACGCTACGTGGGATCGGCCTCTGTCCCCAGCAGCCAGCCCCAAACAGGGGTTTTCCTCCTCAACACACTTCTTTTATCTAATAACACCAGCACGAGGAACAGTATTTAGGTTTCTGGTCACACTTCTTGCTCACATCCAAACCCCCGTGAAGCTAATTCTCATTTTTAACTAGGCAGCAGTGAGGGAAAGTGACCCCTCGGATGCCAAGATCTCACCCAGCCTCACCAGGCTGCCACAGCACTGAGATTCCACATGAGTAACAGAGTAGAAAAAAAATAAAATCACCTTTTTTAGTGAAAAAATATCATTAAAATAATTCAGAGATGCACTTCAGCACCCCTAGGATATGCAGCAGCAAGATGTTCCTGCAACAGCCCTGCCCTTGGCCGGGGGCCTGCAGCCAGGCTGCATGCAGAGCAGCCTCAGAGCCCTCACTGACTCAGTTTTATTCAGTTTTATTCAGTTTTATTCAGTTTTATTCAGTTTTATTCATTCACTGTCCTGCCCCACCAGCATCTACAGAGTCATCTCCACCCCTGTGAGATGGTCCCATCAAAGAAAACATCTGGGGTTTTTTTCCCTTCTAGCCACAGCAGGTTTCCCCTGTGTGCTAAAACACAAAGATTTGGGTCTCCTGTCAGCATGATTTTTTTTAACACACAGGTTTTACAAACTTAGTGGCACACGAGATCTGATTTTCACCTTCATTGACCAGGGAACTGGTCTTAATTATTCAACTACTGAGAGACCCACTCCTCTCCCTTCACCTTTTCAACCCTCCCCAAAGGTTTCAGTTGAGAACGGACAAAGCAGATTCGTTTGAATATAATAAACTGACTGTAGAGATGAACAGAAAATAAAAATAAACCTATTTTATAGGTGTCACAGCAGCAGTTTTGTATTGCTTGGGGTCACATCAGATTTCATCTGTCACAGGTGTCCAAGTACCATAAATTCCTGAGATGTAACTGTTGGAAAATGAAGGTTCATGAACCCTCTTGGACGTTTCGGTGCTAATTCACTGCTTCATGCTGAAGTCTTGGACCTGCCATGTGCCAAAATCCTGGGAAAACAGGATAACTGAAAATACAGCCAGAGCAATCACACACATCAAGCACAGGGGTGCCTCCGTGGGGCTGAAGCTCAAGGATTTGACAAGACTGGTGTGTTGCCAAAATCGCCACAGTCCAACGCTGCAGAGGATTATCTAGAGGAAAAAAAACAACCCAAAATAGACCTAAAAACCTCAAGTGCATCTCTTAAAAATTATTCTTGAAATGGAAATTTGTGGAAATTGTGTCCAGCAGTTGAGGGAGGGGATCCTGCCCCTCTGCCCCACTCTGGGGAGACCCCCCTGCAGTGCTGGGGCAG